AATCTCATAGTAGTATTATTTTAATTTTGAGTCATTTTGCAGTTTTTTATACGGCTAAATAGCATATAAATTACGTAATTCACGTAGATATATCAATATTACGTTCAACATTTCGTTTAAAATACCAGATTTCCTGCAAATATATTAGAATTTACGAAAGGAATTTCACTACTAATTGGCTACTTTGCGTACTTTTCTACTACCATTTTCGAAAAAAGGGATCGCATTCTTGCCCTTTCTCTGTCCTTCGTAAATGCAACCTTTTGTAAGGGAGTGTCAAACCGCAGCTGTCAATAATTATCTAACCTTGTATTATTGAATCATGAGTATATACTAGGAATGTTCGATATTTAAGAAAGTATCGATATCATGAGTCGATTTAATTCATTGCATGTAAAATCGATATGGCGATATATCGGGTTGAACAATATCGATATCGGAAAGATCGATGTTGAAAATCCTACTCCCAATTATATCAAACCTGCTTATCAACTCAACTAATTGTGTTATTTCCATCCATTAAAATGGCATGCCGGTCGACTCAAGCGGTTTGTCAAACTTAAGAGCTAAATAAATCACACAAGCTGCTGATTAACCCTGGGATTCAGTAATTCAGTCTCATATCAAGTCACTAACCCTGGGATTCAGTAATTCAGTCTCATCTCAAGTCACTAAATTTGAGATTAGAAATTGGTGACTATTTTTGTGACTTGGGACGATTTGGGTATTCAGAAGGAGAGAGTCACAAAAAGTTCACCAAAAATGTGTGGTGAAAGCAAACACATCCAATCAACTCATAGTGTTTATGTATGCCTTTTGCCCGCGCCGCTCAAAGAATCGCAATGGCCGAGTGGTCAAAGCATTAGGCTGGCAGCCGAGAAGGTCCGGGTTCAACTAACAGGTCTATTCTGCGCTGGTAATAAAAAGTTTGTAACCGGTAAATAAAGTTCCTGTGAATTTTTAAACCCTTTTCGCATTCTGTGTACTCTTGTAACCGGTAAATTTTGTTACCATCTCATAAGCTGGTAACAAAGTATTGCCCCGTGAAATATGCAATGCCAGAATTTGCACAATTCTTCATAGCTGAATTGCTGAATATTTTAACTGCATTAACAACGTTCCTAGAATCGCGGTGACAAGAACTGGTAACATTTTTTCGTAATAAAAATTTCCGGTTACAAAATCTTTGGTAACGTGCAGAATAGACCTGTAAGTGACAAAAACAAAAACAACCTGAATCAGCTGTTTCTTAAAATCTGGGCACGAAATGTAGGTTTGGCGTTCCCGTACTTCTGGACTATGTTCCATTTTTGAGAGAAAACTTTTCGCTTATTCTCTAGATACCGGATCCGGTCCGGAAAGAACCTAACCAGGTCTATTCTGCACGTTACCGAAGATTTTGTAACCGGAATAATTTTATTACCAAGAAATGTTACCAGCTGTTGTCACCACGAGTCTAGGTACGTTCGTAATGCAGTTAAAATATTCATCAATTCAGCTATGAGGAATTGTGCAAATTCTAGCATTGCATATTTCACGGGGCAATACTTTGTTACCAGCTTATGAGATGGAATGAATTTACCTTAATGTTTTTATCATGGACAGGGTTTGGACAAATATGACAAGATATTAGAAAGCAGAAAAACTTTGGATTTTTATGGTCCCTTGTTGTCATTTGTCAATTTAAAAACATATACATATGTATGAACAAATATCATATTCTGAAAGGCATCCCGATCACACGCACGTGAAGACCGCGGATAAACATACCAGCTACTGTCACTCAAAGATAATCGAAACCTGTTTCTCTTATCGTTCTGTTTTGCTTTCGTTGCTCAGCTGTTTATTGAGCTCCTTATTTCGTCTTTCTTAAAGAAAAAAATTTATCAATTTTCTTTCCTCTTTTTTTATAATTCATTCAATGAAAATTTGACCAGGGAATAGTATTACAAAATATTGGTAACTATGAACGAAGCTGTTATCTCCAGCTATGAGACCTTCTATAGTGGTCCTGGTTTGGTGAGCCGCGCTAAGGATTACTTAAATGCAACAGTATTGTTATTGCTTTAACTATATTGTAGCCATCAGACTTGTCAGCGGAAATGGCGGCCGCAACTTTGGTGCATGCTTCGACTGAGGCAGATTATCATAAAACAACATCGCAGCCATCACAACACGAAACTCCACGCCGCTATCATCATTCTACTACATACAACAATTCTTTTATGACCACGGGTGATGTTACGGCGCAAACGACTTATTCTGCGCCAATCGGTTTCAGTTGCAATAACAATAACGGTGTTTCCAGTAATGGTGTTTCCAGTAATGGTGTTGGCAGAAATGGTTTTACACAAATTCCATTCGTACAAATCCATACCACAGACGTGCAGCCGCAGAGTGCAAATAATAATGCACGATTTCGACGCAATGCCTCCAGTAATCATGAAGAGATAAAGGCAGAGCCAATTAAGTCGGAAAACGCTGATGGTGCCAAAGAGCGGATAAATGCAACACCCACACCTCCAGAATCAGCACAACAGCGCAGTGAAAATAATGCAGCTAAAAACTTGATCCAAGCTGAAAAGGACG